TGAATAAGGCTACTCATTACAAATACATTGCAAATACAATTACAGTATTTAAGCTTGCTTTGGTCATATTTTAAGTTTTTTCATTTGATAAATTAATTAAAGTACATAATTCAAAATATTTATTGAGGTTTTGTGTGAGAGGTATAGCTTTGCATAAGGGAATGGAAAGTAGTAATTATTGAGAGCTTGCTATGCTAGTCATATGCTAATTGTTAAGCTGTGCTATCTCACTGGATCCTTTGGACGAGCTATATTAAGCAACAGATATTCATCTCTCTTTTTCAGAGGAGAAAAAGCAGTCTTAAAAGGGTTAAATATTCATGATTACACTGCTGGAAACTGGTTGAAACATAAATTAACACAAACCTTCAATTCTAATTTTTTTCTTCAGCCTTCTACCTCAAGCGTTAGAAAACACTTTCCATTCATCATTATTGAACCCCAAAGTGTTACTTCTAAAATGAGACAGAATATATCAGCGTAGATTGATAAGCAAAATTTGATAAGAGATTTGTCTCCTTTATTCTGGATGTAGCATCATAACTGTTTAAAATCAGCACTGCAACTACCTATAGGTGATGTGCAAATCTCATCACAGTTTTACTCAGAGCTCACAGTCACTTAAAACTCCTCATTCTGATGGATCAATAAACAAAAATTACTTGCATTTATATATACTAGCAGTTAACAATCTGGAAATGCAATTAAAATACTACATTTGCAATAGTATGAAAAAGAGAAAAGTACTTCAGAAAAATAAAGACAAAAGAAATGCAAGACTTATACCCTGAAAAACTATCAAATATTGCTGAACGAAATTTTAAAAGATTAGAGTAGGCCAGGCACAGTGGCTTACGCCTGCAATCCCAGCACTTTGGGAGGCCAAGGCGGGTGGATCACGAGGTCAGGAGATCGAGACCATCCTGGTCAACATGGTGAAATGTTGTGGTCAGTTATTTTTGGACAAAGATGCTAGAGAAGTTCAATTAAAAAAAAAGTATTCCTTAAAAACATGTTATAAAGACGGGGACAACTGAATAACAACATGCAAATAATAAATGCAAAACCTTACCTAACACCATACACACACACACACACACACACACACACACACAATTGAAGTAGAATATTGATCTAAATGTAAGAAATAAAAGCAAACACATTATATAAGAAACCATGAGAAAACAAAACAAAACAAAAACTGTATGCTTAAACAGGTAAATATTTCTTTAGATATATCAAAAGCATGAAGAATAAAATGACGAATTGAACTTTATTGAAATTAAAAGCTTCTGTGTTTCAGAAGACACGAATTAGGACTTCAGGTACTGCTCTGACACATAAAGGTCTTAGAAGTCTCCACTTGCACCTTCACAACAAGCAAAAGCTTGAAGGGTCTGATAATTAATAACTTTTCTTAGATGTATCAAAGAGTTAATGTTGCAGAAAAACTACCACCCCAAAAACTGGGGACACAGTGAATACACAGAACACAGACAAGCTACCTGAGTGAAAGCTGCTGGAGCCAGTAGTTGATGGGAACATTGTTGTAATACGTTTAATACATTTCTGGAGGCCAAGTATGGACTACCATGAAATATAAAAACTCCTAGAGGCTTAGTTTAAGGTAGGGTGAGCCCTCACTACTGAGAATTTTACCTTTCAGAGAACCATGAGGTTTTAATAGTGAAGATGCGAGAATAGAGAAGCACCACTTGTGTTTGTTCAAAGGGGGAAAGAATGTACCCATTTTTCAGTATAAGCATAAACTTATAATCAAATCCAGCAATTCTACATCTAGGTGTCTACTCAACAGAGATTAAAACATATACAAAGTGGTTTATGCAAATGTTCATAGCATCATTTTTTCATAATAGCTACAAATTTAAAATAAGCCAAAATACATCAACTGGTGAATGGATAAAGAACTGTGGTACACCATACAATAAAATGTTTTCCAGCAATAAAAAGGTACAAACAAATACAAAAAGAAACTGTGTTTGTGGTTGCCTGAGGCTTAGTAGGGACAGGGACTCATTGTTAAAAAAAAAAAAAAAAAAAAAAAGGCATGTGGGATCATATTAGGGAGATGAAAATGTTCTGAAACTGGATTACAGTCCTGGACTCAGCAAATGTGATGAATGATTGAAATATGCACTTATATGGGTGAATTTTTATGGTATGTAAGTTATATCTCAATAAAGCTATTTTAAAAATTATATTTTTCAAAAACAATTAGCTTCATTGTGCCTTTTACCCATTCTAATTATTAACAGAGTACCCATCTCTTCTGTTCAGAAGTAAATAGAAAAATGTTAACCAAAAATATCACCTACTCCGGTTTTCTTTCTTGATAATGATGATGTAATTATTTCAGTCAATAAAACATATATTTGGGGCTCATGTTACCTATATCTTCATTTGATCACAGAATCCTGTGGCTCTCTCTTTGAAATAGACTTTTCATTGCTTGCTCCCAGTTGTTCCCTTGATTGTCTAAATTCAGGTTCCTATTTAATCTCACTTTAATTATTTTTAAAATTTGCTAATTCAGTGGTTTTTGGATTTCTGAATTCATTACAACTGAAAATCGAATTAAAACAAGAAATAGGAATAAAGCTACTATCAATTAATTATTAAGTAAGGACATTAAAAACAAAGTAAAACTACATTATATCCTACTTTTTGTCTTTGTATAAAACTAAATAGCATTCATTCAATATCTGATTTAAAGGAAAGTCATATAAAGGCATAGGCTAAGATTCTAAACATACCCCAAAATAAAATATAAAGGTAGGAATGTGATAAATAATTTTATTTTGTGATTTTGAAAAATGAAATTAAATTCTGCTTTCTTATTCAATTTGGGCATTCAATAAAGCAACCCAAATTGGAGCTTAAGTCTCTAGGTTGGCAGAGTCAGTATTTTTATATTGCTACATTAAATGGAAGCAATACATTTCACGATATTTAATGCAAATCAGAATATTATGGCTAAATTTAGACAAGGTAAAAAATAAAGTCTCTCTAGTTTTATTTATTTAAAATGTCCAGATTAATTGCTCAGAATCTGACTTTCTAAAAGCTCCCCAGATGGTTCTTATGAATGGGTAAATCTATTATTAGTGAAAAATAACCTATATCTTTGAATCATCTGGAGGAATGACACAACTAATGTCTAGACCTTACCCACTGAGGTGCTGAGGTAATTTTTCTGCAATGGGTCATGGGCATTAGTATTTTGTAAGTACTCTTCACTTGATACTATTCTGGAGACAGAGCTAAGAAGTACTGGTCTAGAACTTGAAAACTGATGCTCATGCATGTCCCACTAATTCCTATTACTCACACCTGGTTTATGTCACTCATTGTATTACTTTCTTCATTATTATCTATAATTGAATCTGCAGGCTCTGAATACTGAACACTCTATGTACTAAAAGGTGTAGCTTCTTAGGAGTAGAGACTCCAATAACACAAGTCTAGAGGACAGAAGTCAGGTTAGTGAAAGAACATTTATGTTTGTGTTGGTGGAGGCAGCTTTTCGAAGAGCCCCAGATCCAGACTGAGACCAGAACAAGACAGTAGCTGCTTCTGGAACTTACTGAGGACAGAAGAATTATCACTGACAAAGGAGAACAACAAAAGTAGAAGAGAGAAACAAATAATGTATGAATAAAACAATTTATGATTTGAAGCAGGCTTCAATAAGAAAAGTAGACCAGAATGTTGCTTTGGGGAATCCTAGCAAACCACACATAAATTTTCCATTTTGCCTCCAGTGAGAACATGTTTTTATGGAGTTTCAAAAATATATATCAAGAAATAAAAATACCATCCTTAAAATTAACATCATGGTCTTATCACTCGATTGAATACAAGCATTTGAAAACCTGAACTAGCTCCCTAGTCCAAATCAATCTCAGCTTGGGAATCCGAGGCCCCTCACTCTCTAGTCTTCAGTGATTGTTGTAGGCACATATCCCACCATTTTGGGTACTATGTTTTTTTAGCCATACTGCTGTGATATTTTCCTACCTCTGCAAATTTGCTCACTGTCAAAGACCTATCCATGCTTCAAACTACAGTAAAAATATTCCTTCCTGCCCAAAGCCTTTTTGACTCTCTCCTCCTTTGGAAGTAAAATTCAAACATTTTGTTTATACTTCTTATTAACTTTATTTTCTAAATTGTACAGTTTGGATACATGTTTAAATAAACAAAGAATTGAAGGTAAAACTGTTGAGTAATTCATTTTTCTTAATCCACTTTGGCAGCCAGAAGAGAAAAAAGAGATCACTTGTTTAACTTACTTTTCTGTTCCTCCTTATCATTATCATATATTTTTAGCTGCAGCCTGATTTCTTTCAAGCATAAATAGTTTCATCAGACACTTTTCAAGTTGGATTGAAGCCTAATTTTGAATCTGTTCAACACAATTGCTGTCATTTGCTGGTTCTCAAATCTAAATATAATAGATCCATTAGCTTAATTTTGCCAAAGTTCAAAACAAATAAAATTCCATCGCACTTTTAATGAGTGAAAAGACTCATTGAACAAATTCCATATTTCCTATCATTTGAAGGAAATGAATCTCCCTTCCTCTACCATGATGTCTCTGTATGCTGAGTGTATTTGCTTTACATGGAGAAATACATCCGATAAGTTTTTTTTGTTGGTTTTTGTTTTTTACATTTTAACAGCTTTCTATCATGTAACTGTGGGAATGACCACCTTGCTTAGCCTGTGGTCATCCTCTTACCTCTCTAACAACTCATATTCATAGTTGTCCTAAGAATCTGGTTGCAATGCTTACTGGAACACCTACTTGATTCAGACCAAAAGAACATTTACTTTCTTATATTTAAAAGTACAATCCTTAGATAGTAGATATTACATATAAGTAGTAAGTTTCATGGTAGCATGGATTAGAATTCTTAAAATGCTTATGCTTTGTTCTCATGTCTAATACTGTAAAAACCATCTTAAGTTTTTCTTACGTCTTGAGAGTCACAGGCAGTGGTACGTGGATTTCCTTCCTTTGTTGACTCAACTTGAGAGCTCTCATTGTTTCCAGAAGCATTTTGTTGAGGCTTAGAAGAGACGAAAGGAGATAGAAAGAAAGAGATCATTAAATACAAGAGAAATAGTTTGAACAAATAGATCCAAATCATTATTGTAACACATGATATAATATTGTAGTAACATTGCAATCAAAATAAAACAATAAAATGGAAATTTGTATATATCAGAGACCATAAAATATACCTTGAAAAATTCTCAACTTTGAAATTAAATAAATTATATTTAATTTTGCATTAGTGATGTCCATTGGGATTATTTTCTTACTGAAAATATTTATTTCTTCCATGGTAAGATTTTATTTTAAGGATTCTAGTCCCTCACAAAGTATATATCCTGTCCTTTCTTTTTATTTTAACCCCCAGGATACGTAGAAATAATACATGAGAATGAAAATAACCTGTTTTTCTCGATAGGAAGAAAATGACTCGTAACATTTCATAATTTACATAGTTGATTATATTAACTCAAATTCTTTACTAACTAATCAAACTCTGCTTTATATTTCTGGAAACCCTAAATATTATTGTGGAATTCATCTCTCTAGAAACACAATTGAAAAGAAAAGAAGAAAAGAAAATTAAAGAAAAGAAAAAGCTGTTTCCTACTTCTGGTCAGAGAAGGGTATACCATAATTGCTGTATATAAGTACCACTATAGGTAGGTTTAAGATTATCCATTCAAACGTGCATGTGTTTCTTGGGAAGAGCTGATTTGAATATTAGCGTTACACTCAGCTCCTCAATCCACGAGGGTACTGTTTTAGGGCACAAAAAATAAACTAGTAAATGCTAATGTGCCTGAGTCTGAGACTTTGATCACAATACATCACAGGAGAGGAAGAAATTGGGTTTCTAACCATTAGGAGTGAAGGAAAACTAAGACACGGTCGGGAGAGAGTACTCAAATTCACCCAGGTTTTTTTACCTGTACTACTTTCTACACAGCACTCTCTTGGTTTTTCACAGGCAAGTACATTCTTTAGCAGGAGAACATTTTTACAAAAACAATATCCTTATAAAACTAAAATCCAAGAATAGTTAATAAAGCTGATAGAATATTAAATGTAAAAAAGAACATGAACAAAGCAAATAGAATATTAGAAAAACAGTAGAAAATAAAGTAACTAAGTTCACTAAAATTGATCCTATATAAAGTCACCCAAATGCTGGGCTCTGGGTATAACAATAAATACATAGATAAAAAGTAAATACATTCTTCTTTATTTATACCTAAAGAAGTTTAACTTCATTGGGTGAAATCCAGAAGGCATTTAGTGTTTTCCACCTCCCATACTCCCTTTTTCTTTCCTGTCTTTCCTTTGTTTAGGAATCCTACATCTGACTTCCCCTCTAACTTCTCTAGGAAAAAAAAAAAAAAAATTAAACAGGAAAACAAAAGTTCTTCTTTCTAATCCTATTAAATTTATTCAATAAGCTTTGGAGTTGCCCTTTAAATCAAGCCAATGAACAAGCCAGTGTTCTGTGTCAGATACCTTTAGTAAATACAAAGATGACAAAGGGAGCATTTGGGTCTTCATAGAATTCACCTAATCTGATTGTCAGTCACATAAGTAACTCTAATATAAAACTTATTAAATACAAGAAGGCAGAACAGACTTGTATATATTTTAAAAGAATGATGGTCAATTCCATTTGGGGTAATAAGAAAAGTTCTAGTGAAGAGGGTTATTTTTGAAGTGGGTTGCTGAATAACTACGGCAAGAATGACGGAGGACATCCAGGTGAAGGAAAACATTTAAGCAAACAAACAGAATGAGACTCAGTTGTTTATTTGTTGTTCTATAGGGCAGAAGGGGCAATAAGCATGATTAAAAATACTAAAAAGTAGAGAGGAGATCCCAAAATTGAGCTACAAAATTTATACTTAATTTAGCAGCCAAAGGAGGGCTGGGTACAGTGTCTCAGGCCTGTATTTCCAGCACATTGCGAGACAGAGGCAGGAGGATCTCTTGAGGTCAGGAGTGCAAGACCAGCGTGGAGAACACCATGAGTATCCTGTCTCTACAGTTGTTTTTAATGTAGTAGTTTACACCTATAATCCTAGTTAATGAGGAGGCTGAGGCTGGAAGATGGCTTGAGTCCGGAAATTCTAGGCTACAGTGAGCTGTAATTGTGTCACTGCATTCTTGCTTGGCATAGACTCCAACTTAAAAAAAAAAAAAATACCCAAAGTCGGGGTGGGGGGGTCCCTTGGATATTTCAAATCAGAGGTATGATGTGGCTAGAGCCCCTGTCAGAATGATATGGCAACAGTACATAGGCAAAAATGAAACAGAAGAACATGAGAGTGGGGAAACTAATACAGAAGCAATTAAAATGACCAGGTATATGGCAACAACAGCTGAACCGAGATGTCAATCCTGGTGATAGAAGAGATTGAATAGTTATCATATGTTCTGAACAAGGGTTAGAACATATGTCATTTGAAGAATTCTATGTAATACAGAATTCTGAAATATAGAAACTGAAGAAAATGTATGTCTTTAGCAAGAAGGGTGATTTTATATTCCTAATCAAGAGTTTAAAGCACTTGCAACTTCTAAATAGGTAAGTGTTATTGGATATCAGTGTTAAAAACAATACTATCCTTAACAAGAGTCAAAACAGCTATTTATTCTAGCTAAGATATACAGAACATCCACCACCTGTCTTCCCATAACCACCAACTTGCAGATGCTTTGAGGAAACAGGTTAAAAAGAACAAGAGTAATAAATAATAATACTGGAAGTCTCCCCTGGCAGTCACAGCCAGAACCACAGCTGCAAAATCATGAAGAATGGATTGAATCACACTAACAGGCAGGGGACATTTTCAATGTATTTTGTTTCTAAACAATCAGATGACAGAGGAAATAGTCCCATAATTTCCTTGTAAATTTCCTTTCACATATAGTGGCATTAAAGGAAATTAAAAAATAAAACACATCCATTATTCTAGCAAATCTACTTTTATTCCTGTAACCCTCCCAGAGTTGTTAATATCTACATGCATGAATATCTTACACAGTCACAATTGGGTCCATGCCATTTTTATTCTGCTGTGACATATAACATGAAATGATAGTATATATGATTTGTAGCTATACTTTACAGGTCTAAAAAATTATAAGGTTTTTTTTTTTTTTTAAATGTGTATTATAGTTGAAGATTTTTGAAATTTTCTGTTTGGAGTTTTATAGATAATATTTTGGTGAACATTAACCTTCCTGGTACCAGCCTGCATAACTCCTATCATTCTAATCACTGATCCAAACATCAGGCTATCCTAGGCTTCGGGCTCCTTAAAGGAAGATATCATGTGTTATTCATTGTTTCATCTTGGGAGTTAGTACATATTTTTTATTCATAATTTTTTGTTTCCTCCTTTTTCCTTTTCACCATTTATTTATGATTTCTTTTAGGATTAAGAGAAGGTAAAAATTAGGGTCAGTACTGAAGCAAGGGTAGTGGGCATGTTTATTGTGAGAGAAATCTTTCTAAAAGGTAGCAATTTAAATTGTGTTTCCCAATATGAATAAACAAACATTTATTATGCATCCGCTGTACAACAGTATTATGTTTAGAATGGAATCAAATATTTGAAACAGCTCTGTATCTCAAAGAGCTCCCATTTGCTCCTCAGTAGCTGCTCATCTTTCCTTCTATTTTCCTAATAATCCTTGACTCATTTTTTTTTTTTTTTTTTTGGAGGATTACTTTTCTCTCATGGTATGGTACATACCAAGCATTGTTTCATGCATCTAATTTCCTGACCAATTCAAGATATGGGCACATACATAATCCAAGTTAGGTCATCAGAAGCCTTGAAACTTAGCTGACCAGATTCAAGGCAGGCTACCAATGGTTAGATATGTTAATTTCAGCAGGGTGTCTTCTACAGGTTGTTTCTACAATAAAACCATTTTTGTGATTCATGTGTACCAATCTAATGAAGAAAAGTTTATTTCTGCCTGTGCTCAGGCTTGTTTCTCCCATCTTCTTGCTAATACTATGAGTTATGATAGTCAACCAAGAAATCCCCTTTATTAAATTGGTAAAGATCAGTATTTTTGTATATAACCACAGAGGCCTGGATGATACAGGGAATCAAATCACTAAAGTGAAACTGACAACACAAGTTCTGAGACAGTGTTTCACCATAAAAACTTCCAGAAGGAAAACCTAAACCAGTTAGGAAAGCTCAAAAGAGTAATAACAGGCTCAACAATGATGGAAATTTTATTTTAGCATAGGTATTCAATAAATTCTTAAAAATAAAACTGTGTAGCAGATGGATTCTTTTCATGCTCATTTAATTATGTTTTCTCATGCAAATATTGTGCATTTATTAAAATGTGCCCAGATTCTGAAGGTAAGGCTGAGGCAAATAATATATTGAAAATAAATTAATTATCATCTATCTATAATTTATTCTTGTGGGTCTTTGATATTTTAGATGGAAGACAAAAGGGGCTTCATTCACCATTAAGTTCATAAAGAGCAAGGAGAAAAGAATGACAGTGTAACTTTCCTATTCCATAACTTAATGAAAGGCTGCCCTTGTGTTCATCTATCAGAAAACTGGATTGTCTGGTTTACTACTTTTTAAATAAATACTAATGCTATCTCACTTAATTTTGCTTTAAATCATGTACATACATTAATTACTTTTAACAATAGGAAGAAAATACACATTTCTTCACCAGTGTGAGCACCAAAGCATAAAAGTTAATTTTTTTCATTCAAAAACCTAATGTTTAATTAATTAACTGCTTGTTTTCAAAAATGATAAATACCATCCTTCATACATGCCTTTGCCATCAGTGAGATGGCTCCTTGTGGAAAGAAGCTTTATTGAAACTGATTAACACCAGAATGAGAACTGAATTTAGGGAAAGATGATATGTTTTGGAGTCAAAGGAATGTGGATTTCAATTCTGGATCAGTATTTAAATAAAATATGCCTCGGACTATCTATATCTATCGTCTCTATATATAGATATATAGAT